TCCTTCAGTTATTCATTTCACATGCCTTCTTAAATCTTGTTATGTGCTGCTTCTTATATCTTTAATCTCCTAGTGTGTCTAAATGAGAGTAGAAAACCTTTCCTACATTGAAGCTGAAAGAGGAATGGGAAGAATGTGATGGACTTGTTCCAAAGGTGCCAAGACACTTTCAGAACAGAGAGAAGTAACCATATTTCTCATTTTTCAGCAACGCTTTTCTGGGCAGAGCAAAAATGAAGGATTTTCCCAGAGTTTGCCCTGCACTTTTTTAAATTCTGGGTTTTTAAAATTCTGCATCAGGACAGAATTTGCAAAAAAAATTTGAATAAGCTGCCACAGTGGGTTACCTTTTTGAATTTCATCAGTCATTTTTCTTTATTTGCCTGCTTATGGCACAACGAATTGAATTTGTCTTTATAAATCCACTCATGGTTTAACTATCCTCCACAATATTGAAGTAAAATAAGTTTGCAATAATCACTAGCAGGAGTACCCACAATCACCAGAAGATTTTTCCAATAATCAGGCAACCAGTGGAAAATTTGGAATTGTGGAAACCCTTCACAGCAACCACTTATTTTTCCAGCCTAATGTGTAAGTGATGACCAGGTTTTTTGAAAGAAAATTCCTGGGTGATATTAAGAACTGGTGGAGGAGTATCCTGTTCAGTAGAATCTTGGGCATCAATGATGTAAATGAGGGACTTGGGAAATTTTCACGCCAGGGAAAGAATTTCTCAGAATCGCACCTAGTGGCTGAAATTGTGTGTTCTTATCAAGAGTTGCCCTTGGAAGGTCACCCATACAGGGTCTGAGATCAAATTGGCAAAAGTGGGTGCATGGTCCCAATGCTTCAGGATGGGGAGATTTGTTGGAAGGTATTTTTCCCAGAATGGGGGTGGGGGCATTTCAACTGGGATGGACAGTAGGAGCAGTTTCATGGAGTTCCTTGGAACCTGAACTCCCAAGGTCGCGAGGCAACCTCTATCCAAAAGCTGCCACTTCTGGCCTTGGAAACTCATTCTGTTGGGAAACTTGATTCCCAGCAGACTTATTGTGGAGTGTTGTGTATGGGTGGAATTACTTACTGCTGCATTGCTCATGTTCTTGGGAGAGTTTGCTTTCTGGTTGCTGAATTCAGACTTTAAATTGAAACAGTGTCGTCCTGAGAGGGAAGCTGGAGATTGAAAGGGAATACCGCGAGCAAAAAACTCAGGAACAGTTGAAAAAAGTTTCGAAATCTCGTCATTCCGTTACCTATATGACTTCATCCATTATCTAGTTTCATCTGCGGGTTCGGCTGGAAGAACCCGTTTTCGCTGTGTTCATATTTTCTCCCTGAAATCTGTGGTTTCATCGTTCCTGGGTCCAGCTTTTATTAATCTTCTTTTAGTTTGGGTCATTGTCTGAAAAAGGGCATTGGTTGATGGGTGGGATCCCTGAATTGTTCTGGGCTGCAGTAAGGCAGATTGAGTCAAGTGCTCCGGTCTAGTTATGGGTGTTGAATCAGAATATTTCCCTTTTGTATTGTACAACTATTTTGCATACATGTTCCCTCTCCAGTCTTGAATGTGTTCTTGAAGAAAATATGCTTGAGACTCTAATTTGCGGTTTGCTTCGGGAATTTTTCCATGATGCATCAATCTTTCCCATGTGGACTGATTATTCATGGGTATTTCAACTCCTATTTTGTACATCATGGTTGGTCTACCCAATTCTTCAAACATTCCATTCTGTCCCAAAATTCTAGCAACAGATTTTATGTGGTTCACTAGAGTTTGAAGATCTTTGTATTCATTGAATTTTACTGGAGACAATTTGTCTTGTTTTGCAGTTAGATCTTGTTGAATCTTGGTAGGACATGCATATTCCTCCTCCAATACTTCTATTGCCTCATCATAGGCTTTGTCATCAACAAATATGTCTTCAATTATTCTGGGGCTTCTCCTTTTAAGGATCCTTTTAGCATGACAAACTTCTGAACATTTTTTTCTTCAGTATGGGTCATTTCTTTTAAAGTTTGCATGCATGTAATGAAACAATGAGCATCTCCAGAGAAGGGAGTGATTTCGAGCTTGGGTTGCAGGGTCATTCCTCTCATGACTCTTATACCCCAGAAACATTTTGCTGTGGTCCAATTGTCCTGAAGAACTGCATTTTGTAAGTTATTGGCATCCCCTGTTATACTTAATTTAAAGTAACACAACATTCAACAAATCCTATGCTTTCAAACATAGACCATTCTAGTGCATTATACATGAGTACATTGGAATGGGCAGCCATACAAAGTCCTGTATTATCCATTTTACTGGAAAAAAGAAGAAAGAGCAGGTCATTGTTAATTTTCTTTCCATTCCTGTATTTATGCTTGTATTTCTTCTTGCATGAGAAAAGAATTAAAAACACACATTTGAAGGTAGATTCAAGAGAATATTTATATGGTCATTCTCGAGTCTTGACTTGTATGCAACATGTGATAGATGAGGTGAATATTTTGAAAATTTCAAGTTTTTAGCATGAATGCAAAAACTTACTGCTTCAAAAAATCTCTGTCCCATGAAAGTTTCCTGTTTTCTCATTCTACCCTGATTTGTAAGAAAGTTGTAAGAAGCATGCACCGTATTGAAAATCTTCCTGAAAGCCTTGTCAAAAAAGAGGCAGGAAAAGAAAATAGATACAGTATTTGACCTTCACAAATACTGTACTGTACAAGCAAAATATCTTGCTTCAATGGAAATCCCAAATGCCATTGCAAAGTATGTATCTATTGATCCCCAGCTGTAATCTCAAGTAAAAAGTAGACTAACTTGGAATTTTTCTGTGCACTCATTCTTTTGCTTGGCATTTAAATCAAAATATACCATCATAAAATTGTTATGAAGTCCTAACTTTAACTTGTATAAAGATCTTCATGTTGGAAAGAAGCTAATAGATTTCTTGATTATTTCCAGCAGTATGGTTTATTTTAGATGCTAGTGAAAGGTGTGAAAGATGCTGCAAAAGGGATGTATGTTAAACCAATAAATTCTAATAACATAGAAGAGAGAAAGAAAAATGAGTTGATTTCTTGATTCTGAATCTTCATGAGGAATGTCCAACTCATGCAAAAAAACTTTCAAATATTTTTTTCCTTCCAATCAATGACATGGCTATGCTGCAAAGGGAGAAGTTCACCTTCAAGTGTATCCGAACATTACCCAAATGGAATTAATCAATCAGGGATTTCCCTGTCACTGCCAGTTTTATAAAATTCCAAAATGAGTTTTTAAGCTGAAAATAAGGAAAAGTTGCAGTTACTAGAAATCATGGTTTTTACATAATTTCCCCCAGTTATTATTCAAATTTTTGCAAAAAATATAATTCAGGGGGTGGTGCCAGATTTTTATTTGCACAAATGCACTGCACCTCCCAGCTTCAGGACTGAATTTACCCAACTTTCCTTGTCCAAGTTTAGCATCCTGTTAACTCATTCAAAAAGTAATTCAGGGATGGTTGAAAAACCTGGTCATTCCAAAACCAGATCATGCCTTTCCTGGAACAAACTGATAAAAAATCAGAAAATCTTCTAGCACCTCACACATGGACCAACCTAGTATACTGCCAAAAAATCCATGAAGTCCCAACATCTTGGGTAATACATAAAAGCAGGGAGGTTATTCCTGACAACAGTATTCTGCAACAAGATAAATTGGCAATTAGATTCCAGTATTCCAGTCTGAGGAGGTTTGTAACTGAACAGTCAGCCAAACAAGTACATGACTATAGAACCAACATTTATATCAACCATGTTAACATTGAGAACCGCAAAATGTTGGAAACTGCAAAGAGCAACTCATACGAGGGTTCTAACAAAAGTTCTTGGAGTAGCAATGAAAATGGCTTAAATTGATCTGAAAAAAATTTATTCTTCAGAGAAAACATATTATTTGGCACAAAAAAATTTCAGCCCTGTTGGACAATTTTTTTTAAATTTTTTTCATAATTCACCCTGGCAGAGTTTTGTTCTCCACTCAAAAGTTCATTGACAGCCGACTTCACAGCCGCCAAAGTGGTGGCCAATGTGGTGGCTGATGATGTAAATGGCAGAATTTCCTTGGATGACCTGGATGCAACCCTTAGAAAGAATGCCAAGTTGATTTCACAAATTCTGAGGAGAAAGCTGGGCTACAACAAAAAAAGGGGCGCCCCATCTTTTGAGTGGAGAGCAAAAATCTGCCAGCGTGAATTATGAAAAAAGATTTTTAAAAAATTGTCCAACAGGGCTAATTTTTTTTTTGTGCCAAAGAATATGTTTTCTCTGAAGAATACATTTTTTTTCAAATCAATTTTAAGCCATTTTCATTGCTACTCTGTGAACTTTTGTTAGAACCCTCATATTGAATTGAATCAACCCATATATCCTCTTTGATTCATTGGTGCAAATCAACCTGATTGCAAACTCACTTGTAAACAAACTTAAAATCACAACAACAATTCACCAAAACACTATCAATTATAGCTGCCAAAGGACACTCAAGAAGTATCCTCAAGTCCCAACTCATTGTCAACCTTACATTGAGATTTAGAATACACCCCAATTACATACATATAACAGGCTCCCATCATATACATGCTTCATGAATTACATACAGTATTGTTGGCCAGAAACTGACTGATTGCCCTGCCTTGTTATTTCTTACCATTTATTTCCACTGGCCTATAATGGTTCAATTCTTTATGTTGGGTCAAACCATGTTATTCCAGCCACCCATAATTCAAGGCTGAGAATATCATGGATCAATCGCAATTTCTTCTGATTCCTATTTTCCTCCTGGAAAGTGATGATTTTTTCTGGGCTTGCACATAAATACTTGACCAATGTTGTCTAGATTGTAAGGGTCAAGACCATATATCCCAGAAGTATAGTAATGTATGTCATGTTATCACCAAAGTGACCCGGAAGATATACATGACGAGCATCTTATTCTCCAGCTTATACTGTAGTCGGAAGTATAAGTCCCATTATAGTTTTCTGCAGCAAATTTTGCAAGATGCTGCTTCGGAATGGCAAAGCGTCAATCTCTCATTGTCGTCGTCGTCGAAGTCGTGGCAACTTAGGTTCCACATGCTCTCGGTCTTCAAGTCCGTGCGCCGAGTCCTTCCACGTTGCGGAGAATCTTGTGAATCTGCGTTTTCTTGATCCATAAATTCTCCGGAGTAGCGACAATTTCTCTTATTGGCATGGTCCAATGAATCTAGCTCTTCCGGATACTGCACCAGAGACAACACAGACATGGCGCGCGTTTTGCTCACCTTCCGCTGCTTCATCTTAGACACGATATCCTCCCATTGCTTGGAGATCTCTTGCGAAGATCGCCGCATACCTTCTTGAGTGATGAGCTGCGACTGGCGCCAGTTGAGTTCCTGCGATGCCTGATGGTTATTAGTGTTTTTGCCTCTGCTGGTACCTGACGCTGGTGCCGCAGACGATGATCGCGATGAGGAACCCGAGAAGTTCTTCATGGTTGTTTCTATGACCTCGTGTAGTTTCATGGACTGGGCTTCTAAACGCTTGCGATCTTCTTGTGCTCTGCGGCGAAAGTCTTCAAATGCGTTCTGCAGGTTCGCCGACTGCATGCTCAGGTCGGACGGACTCAACATGGATACTGGTCTTTCCTTCCTCGGTGCTCGGGTCTGTGGCTTGCGTGTGATGGTGCTGGTGGTGTTGTGGGATTCGTTTGAGAGATTCATCGTGGAAATGGCCCTACTGCGGATCGGAGATGTTCTTTCTGCCGTTTTCGGGTGCGTCTCTGGTGAATTCTTGTGTCCTTCGTCTGATGATGACGTTGTTATTCGCGGTTTCGGATGCATTGGTCCGTCATTGTTGTGTGGTTCTTGATCCGGTTTAGTGATCGTTACTCCAGCATCATTATGATCATGAAGGGTCGAGTGTGTTGAGTTATTATCCGTTTTTAAACTGTGCCTGAGTTGCAAGTTTGTTTCGAGTGGTGGATGCGTTTTTTGTCCATTGTTGCGTATTGTTTCCAACTCAGTGGCAATCTCAACTTCATCATCATCATCATCGTGATGCGGTGAGAACGAGGTTGTCTCTTCTCTTGTTGGATCCTGCCTGGGTAGCGGGTTTGTTTCGGATTCTTCACCCGACACGGATGTCGAAGATGCCTCGTTTGTCATCCAGCAACAACAACGGATGCAACAATCGTAACTGCACCCAGAGTTATCGATCTTGTTTGTGCTAATTGCTTCTTCCTCGGCAGCATGCACAACGTTCTCTGACTGCTTACCGTTCTTACTGTGTTCAGTGATCCCGTGTTCGATTATCTCTGTCCACTCTCGCTCGACCTTGTGTTTGTCCAGCTTGTACCATCCAGGCTCTTCAGCATCAGAAGTGACGAACATGCCGTGTTCAACTTCGTCCATCGACGAGTTCAGTGGTATCCAAGTGCTTTCAGAGTAGATGTCGTGTCCGCGCAAGTAGGTCTCAGCCGGCCAAAGGTCATCGGCGCATTCGAAGCGGTGGATGTCGCGGTACGAGGAAGTACGGATCATGCTGCTATCGTTGACGTCATCGTCGTCGTAGCAGAAGTACTCCGTGAGGCGAGGAGAAACGGAAGGCATTCTTTCTTCGCTCCACTGCTGCGTGAACTCCGCTGGGCTTCTGCTGGAACATTGACCGTGAGGACAAAAGATGTGAGAAAATGATGTTGCAAAATTCATGCCTGTCTCATTCCGCATTGCTCAAATATATACCACCATATTTTCGGGCTTAATTTAAGAAAGGTTTCGTGATGATGCTTCCTCAGAAATTGAAACTTCGCGATAAAACCTGTTGCATGGATTCACGATTTTCATAAACGCGATGAAAAAAATAATCCGTCTCAGCATAAGATTCCTCGAATTCATTTTGAATATTTAGCGCTATTATTTTTGATATTAATGAATGACGTGTGAAGAGAAGAACCAGTGAAATATTTTTCCGCGGAAGTCTGACGAAAAAAAAATATTTGACACGTATAGGAACAAATAGGTCCAAGCATCACTGAAGTCCGCGCATCTTCTTTTGGGGCTCACCATTGTAATTCGTAATATTTTTTACGAAACTGCTTTAAAAATATGTGTTATCAGACTAGATAAAAAAGATGTTGATATATTCACTAGCTTTACCTTCCTGAACATCGAAAATCGTCGTCATGTCTCGTCGATATCGGGACTGATGATCGTCGTGCTGGATCCCAGTCGTCATCGCCGATCCGCCAACAGCTGCTGCTGCGTGCGTCATCTGTCGGAGAGAAATACGATGGCACCACGCCTGCCTCTTCATCGCCGTCTCCTGATCGACACCGGGACTCATCAAGCAGATTGAACGGCTGAGTCGCCGTCGTCACGACGTCGTCCGACATGCTCGAGTCCCGCAGGATCAGCAGGGAGTCGTCGAAGATGCCTTCGGACAAGAGGAATTCCCTGGCGAGTTCCGGAGTGATTGGCCGTCGACGACGAGCAGCTCCGACGTCGGCCCTGCCGCTGTTGACGACGTCGGCGTCCAGTCTGCTGCTCGGTCTCTGCTGCTGCTGCTGGTGATGGGACGTCGTTGTCGACAACGACGGTCGTTGAAGACGGGGTTTCGGCCGCGGCTTGCTGCTGTTGTTGTTGTTGTTTTTGTCAGCTGTAGTGGGTGTGATTATGCGATGCTTTTCGGGATCCGCCTCTGGTGATGAGGATGTGGACGCCGTTTTGTCGGCGACGGCGTTGGTGAGTTGCAGTCGTCGCCGCTGCGCATCCCGGTTGAGCAAGTTGGCCAGGCGAATGCGTCGGGACGTCTTGGGTGAGAGTGTGTCGGCGACGTACTCGTGGCTTCTTTTCTTTTTGCTGCTGCTGCTGCTGGTATAGTCGCTATCGTTGGTGCAGCAGCTGCTCAGCAACTGCGTCACTCGTTTGCAGTGCCGCGTCGACTCTGTGTACCTTATTGAACAAATGAACGAGTGAGTGAGTGAGTGAGTGCGCAAATGCGGTCGCTGTGTTTTCCCTCGCTATTGATGCAGTCTTGGTGGCTGGTTTAAACTGAGCATTTTATTTTATTTTTTGAAATTTTGCAAACGTGTGCCTGGTTTCTTTATGCATTTGCGCGTTTTCGCAGAGTATTTTATGGAGCAGGGAAGTTGTACATGTGGAACCTTGCAATTTGTTGTTCTGAAATTTGACCATCCTGCATTTTCACAGTAAAATTTGCTGGGAAGTTGACTTTGACCTCTTGTCCTGCAGTTTGACCTGCAGAGAGGATCAAAACATCAAATTTGACATTGTGTCACAATTTGACCCCTTTGCAATTTCACCCTTACCCATCAGGAATGGACTGGGGTTAAATTTGCAGAGCACCACCTGTAGGTAGGATTATTGTGTCATTCCAAAGAATCATCTCAATTATTCACTGCTTTCCAAGTGCAGTACAGTACAGTTGAACCTCAATAACTTGAACATCCCTCCATCAAATACCTCCCTAAATCAAATTTTTTTTCAAGTTCCCATCTTAATTTCCCTTGGGAAAAATGCAGTAAAACCCTTGTTAGCTTGAAGTCTTTATCTCTCAAACCTCAGTAAGTCCAATCTTCCAAGGCCATTTGGCTATTACATGTACTTTCTTGACACCACAAAGAGAAAAGCAGTAAAAATTGACTTTGATGTGTTTTGAATGAAAGTTGAAAACTAATTGTGCAAATGCACCCCTGCCTCCAAATTTAGCATCATGTTAACTCGTTTAATAAGCATTCAAGAGAACCCAAAATATCACCAATAACAATTTTTGGCGCTTCTTCTGTATTTGTCATAACAAATCCTCTTGGTTTGGTATATCAACTTGAAACTTCTTTGAGTTGAAACTGCCCCAAGTCAAATTTTTTTTGCTGCTCCCTTGAAATTTGACTTGGAGAGGTTTGACTGTAAATTCACAGTTCAATATGCAGGTGGACTCTCTACATTGAATTATTTGGGTCTCTGGATTTTTGTTGTTGTGAGACCACCTGTATTATATTTTTGCAACATTTTTTAACTAACTTAAGGATGGTTGAAGAAAACATGTTGCTGCTCCATTCAGTTTTAATTCATTCGATTCACTGCTACAGTGATTTTAGTGACTATATACGTGTATGATCTTTCTCAATTCCGTGCAAAATCTTTTCACCTACATCAAGATGTCCTGGTTTCCGATGCCATCTGTCAACCATTTCTGAAAAGCATCTAGCCAAAAACATTTGTGATGCAATATTCAGATTCCTTCGAGAAATTCTGACTAGGTTTTATCAGACATTGGATGTTCATTTCTTCAAATAATGTACTGTATGCATATGTATAGCCGTCTGAAAGTTTTTAATCAATATGAGGTTTTTGAACAGAACTGGCAAATGTTCACGCAGATAATTAGCCAGTTCTGTTCAAAAACCTCAAGTCTGAATGAAAGATTTTCCATAAATGCAGCATTAGATAAATTCTAGTTTATCTGCGACATTAGTATTTTGGGTAATTTTTGATCGTCTGTTTGCCTTTCTATGTGAAAAAAGATTGGAATAAGATTCCGAAATTTCAATCCAGGGATTTCAATTGATAATTCGAACAGTGATTTTGTGAAGTATTCTGAAAAAAAATTCTTCCAGCACTGTTTGTTATAGTACTACAGCATTGAAAATTGTAGAACCACATATCATGGATGATACAATGAACCCTTGAGGAAGACATGCACCAGTATTTGTCAGACGAAACTTTTCATGCTAGAATTGAAATTTGGACCTGAATTCAATTCATTTTCAATTTCTTTATTTAAAAACATTTTCTGATCGACGTTTACCTTTTTATTGAAGTTATACTCCCATGAAATTTTCTGACATTGTTGCCCCCTTTCATGATATACGCACTCCTTTTTTCCGCTTAATTTTGAGAAGAAGTGATTTTGGATCTGCAGTGAATACAGTAACACAGTGAAAACTTTACCATGAGATATTTTGCATGATTCAGGAAAATAATTTCTATTCTCCTACTTGCTGATCGTTTTCCCAAGGAAAAGGTAATCAGTGTTGTATGGTGGTGAGAAAGTTCAGTGATCCCTCTTTCCATTCATGCCTCATTTTCTCTCCAAAACTTCCCTGTGGTCTAAATATGCATTCAGCTTTTTCCCAGACATGGCTGTGCCTCATGAAAAAATTTTCGGTCTGCCCGAAATCTTCTTTCAACAGTAACCGTACGAGTTCACAACTTCTTCCAGCAATTTGACTACTCAGAAAAGAATGATGCATATATGAAACCCACTGGTAAAATTTGGAGAGCAGTTTGCTGTCCTCTTCGTCGTCGTCGTCAATGATGTCACCACCACAGGGACTCGGCGGGTTGACGAGCTTGAGCAGCGGCTGAATGGGGAACCATGAGTCCGAGTTGTCCACAGATGTCGCTTCTGTCAGATCCCCGCAACTGCGGTACAGCCTAATACGGTCCACGAAGCTCGGCGACAAAAGCACCGACAGCTTGCTTAAGCCCGTTGCGTATCTCAGCACGTCTGGCGATGACGACTTGGATGATGATGATGACAGAGAACAGGGAGCGACACCTCGCGACGTCGATTGCTGGTTGTTCAACGCGTCCACCTGGGTTGGTGAAGGGGATGATGAAGAAGAAGAAGACACGGGGCTGATGGAGCAGGAGACGCGCTGTTGTGGGTTCATACGGCCATCATCGCGGGCATCCTCTATAATTTTATAAATAATGAATGAAAACGAAATGTCATCGCTGGTTAGAGCTGATAAGATATCATTTACTGTGCAACAGTACCATAAATAATACTGTACATGCTTCACGCAACAAACTCACACTGCCTGCACCATCAACTCTCTTAACATGCTTCGGATAGTGGACTCAGCAATATTGATCAATAAAGAGGCATTAATTTCTGATACAGTAAAATCACCTTACAACTAATCACAATATAATTGATTTTTTCCCCAACATTTGTTCATAGGGAAGAATGTCATGTTATAAACAAACTAATTTTCCTTCATCATCCCAGCAGACATTTTTTTGCCTTGATTATGTGCTGTGCATGGGCCATGGAGTGACTCTATTACTAATTGGCACAATATGGAAGACCCAATTTCTGCATATTTTGAAAGCCTTTAAAACATGAATTATAATTTTTTGTTGAAGAAAATTGCAGGAAAGATGAAGCTCTTATCAAAATGTATTTAGCGTCATACTTGAATTTATAAATGGGCAAATTAGAAGAAGTGTGTGACTGGAATGATATTTCCATGTTTTAGAGAGCAGGAAATTTTAATAAAAGCTCTTTTTACACCAGTGTTTTTCTGTTTGTTTCAGCTCATACCTCAATGAGCCAGTAAAGGTTTTGAAAATTTATGGAGGAAAGATCTGACCTAAAATAATTTTGTTTCACATTTTAAAATAAGCCAAACAGTGATGATTCTATTTAACTCAAAACCTCCCTAAGTAGAATTTTTTTGCTGGACCCTTGAAATTCCACTTAGTCCAAGGGTACTAGGATAAGTGCCCCTCCAATGTTCTTCAAAGAGGCAGGCTAACCATAAATTTCACTTTTTTTCAGTGTTCTGATGCATGCGCGTGATTTCATCCTCACTAAAATAATATTTCGCGCAAACTAAATATATTTGGTTCTGGCAAACGAAGCATGACATCATGGTTCCGCACTGCGAAACGAAAAGTTAGCAAACTCTGCGGTATCCAAGCGTGTTTGCGAAATTATCGCCGAGCTTCTGATCCGAGAAATGACGCGATTCCGTTTCAAACAAAGGAATAAAAAGGTCTTCTTATTTCCTTTTTCGCATTAGTCAAAAATCTTCAAGTCAAACTTCAAATATCCAAGAGCAAAATTTTTTTAGGACAAAGAAAGATGCATTTCAGGAAATTGTAATTGTGATTTATTTTGGGTCATTAATTTATTTGTGAATGATTTGAAAAGATGCTGAAGTTGGGGGGGGGGGGAAGGGTTCATTTGCCTAGTTATAGTCCTTCACTTATTTTCAAAACACATGAGGTTGCATTTTTATTGAAATTATATTTATTGTGTCTTGAAAGGGCATGCGGAAGGCCTCCAGAAAATTAAAATAACGCATGCCTGATATGGGAAAAGTCCATGACTTTGGTGTTGTTTCTTGGGGAATTCAGACAGAAACTCTCAAGAAATTGTTTGTATATAGGGACTTTCCGAGTACAGTATCAAATTTCAAAAGCATTTTTTGGTTCATCCTTGTTTAACTTCCTTTGCAAAGTAACGAACGACATCTGCATGGAAACAGCAGAAGCAGAAACTAGAGCTAATTTCAAAAGCGTGGTCTGGCTTTCCGTAACAGTTGAAATTTGAGAAGAAAAGTTCATTTTTTATGGTGGAAGATGCGATGGAAGTGCTGTGTTTAGTTGCGGCTCCTCAGCTTTTCATGAAATCATCCTGTCTTTTTCAGAATGATGGATTTGTTTCTGTATAAGAATAGTGACATAAATTAAGGTCTGCCCAGGCGTGAAACAAGGGCTTGTTGTTCCTCAAACTTGTCCCTATCTCACTTATTGAAGAAATGTAACTCACCATCAGTTGAATTACACTTATTTACTCTGAAAGGCTAACATTAAATTCTCTCCAGGTTCCACATGACACTTTCCTTGCCATATAATCTTTCACTGCTTCAGTAAACTGCTTAAAGATCCAGAATAATGTGGGTGTCACGTTTTGTCTGGTTTTCACCTGCACCAGCTGGCACAGGTTTTTCCCACTTAATCAGTTGAGCTGGTTGAATATGCATAAGAAGATGAAGAAAACTGCTGAGAAACATCCCCACTGAACCAAAAAATGGTGAAAATTTCCAACCCCCCCCCCCCCCAAATACTGCGTTTACTGAAGTATTATTCAGTGTAGAAATTGAGGCAGGAAAGTATTGTGGAACTCTAGGATGAATTTGAATATTCCAAGAAAAAAATTCCCCAAAACTGTGCACTTGAGTTGATCTAAGCAACAAAGAAAAGTGAAGAGGGAAGGTACATTTTGCTAAGTCTCCTCATGCATGGGTATTATTGGTTTAAGCAATCACAAATTTAGGAATACTGTGCAGTAAAATTCTGTAGCAACAAATCTGTTTTCCATGCATTTTTGATGATGATGAATTTTTTCTTGGCCCCAACAGTTTCTCTTTATACACAGATAATATGTTTCAAATATTTAATTTTTAACCAATTCATTTCTGTAATCCCAGGTAAACAAATTTTTGGCCACAATTATGAGCGTGGGCCTTTCAGGCATTATTCGATTAATGTGAAAAATTTAACTGGTGCAGCATTCCAACTTCATCTAAGGAACAAATCTCACTTTAGTGTAGAAACAATAAAATGAAAAACAGTATTGAAATGCATTCTGTCCCTTTAAGAATGAATGCCTCTAATAAAAGAATGTATTAGGAATCATTTTCTCTATTTGAAATAGCAAACAGGAATGAATAAATAAGTTATAAAGTAATGATTCAGAAGAAAGTATTTATTCCACATATACAGTACTTTGGTTTCATTTTATTGTTACAATGAATGACACTTCAATAGACAAACAGATTTGATGAAAAAGAAAGCACAGTATACTGTACTGTACATTCAAGTACAGTATTTCCTCTTCACTTTATCAGAGAGACTTGAAAATTTAAATGTCTTGAATTATCTTTTGTAGAAGCATTTCGCAGCATTTATTACCCATTTGCCATTTCTGTCTACTTTTCAATCTGTAATTTGTTAAAAACCAATTGCAATACAACGCGTGTTACATTATGGAGAATTTCCAACAATTATCTGGGAGTTTATTGTAACAGGCTTACACTTAAAATCAGTTGGAAATGCAGTAGGAAATAAAGGAAGGCTTACATATTTATCTAACTGAAGAAGCTACCATATTTTGTGAGCAAATTTTAACTGTTCTTGTGGACAATAAAGAAGAAAAGACAAAATATCAATGGGGAAAATGGGTCCACATAAAAAATATCTCAAACTTTTTTAATTTGAACAAATGAACTTGGGTGTGGGTCCTATGTGGGNTATTCACACGTGACTCGGATTATAAAACTGATACCAATAAATAAATAGATAAATTGCGAATGAATGGGAATCTGCGCGCGAATATTCAGGCGTCGGTGTGCAGTGCGATGCGCGACTGGTGCAGAACCAGAGACTGGGCCAGGATCCCAACCAACAACCCCATCCGTCTGAACCATTGATTCGGAACCAGAGAGAAGGAAACAGAACACACGCATACCAGAGGGAGACACACGAATGCTCATGAAATCACCACCAGGTTACATGAAGAGAGAGAGAGACAGACAGACAGAAATCAAGCTAAGAGAGAGGAAGAAGAAAAAAAGACAGATGTGAGCGGAAGAAAAGCGATTAGAACACAGGAAGGAGAAAATAAAAAAAATGAAGAAGGGAGTTGAGAGTGTTTCAGTACATGGCTGACCAAAATAACTCAGCTTTTCTTATGCTACTCAGCCTTGCTCCCATTAAGAATTAAACTTTCAAAAGACTTGGGATTTTCACAACTTGATGAAAAAATACTCTTCCAAATTCTTAGAATACCAAAAAAAAAGTGTTGGGTTCATATGATTTTTGATCAAATATTATTTCTAAATTGTTTAATCAATTGAGAAATATCTGGGGACAGGCTGAATACCCTTTTCTTCAGTATAATCTTGTCCTGTATGCTGTGATTTTTTTTTAAATTCAAAGCTAAGATAAATCATGGAAATTCATCATTCATGCATTTGTACATTCTCTGATGCATTTTCTTTTAATCCTTGGGTGGTAGTGGGTTCCTGGCTGTCCTGCAGCAGAGTTGGGAATTTCAGGGACATTTCAGTTTGACACAATGCCACTGAAGTACATCCATGTTGGGAAGGCTTAAGTCAGAGAAAACCAGGTAGAAAAAATCTAATTGCATTTAGAAATCAGCCAATATTAATCCTACACTGGAAATGCATGGAAAAATGCCACCTGTATAGTGAAAAAAATTTTCAGGCAAAGTTTTCTGCTGGATTATGTGTTATTACACATTTTCCAAACTCATGTGTAAGTTCAAAAATAAGATCTTTTTTAATTTGAAGTGCTGTGCATATGGACACAACATTTTCCAAAAACATCTCAAATTTCCTTCACAAGGGTAAAACATGTAGAGTAAATTACGTTTTATTGGTCAGGATGTGTTGAATGGATGTGTGTTTGAGGTGGAAAAATTTTGTGAACACTGACAAGTAGCAAATATTCAGATTGCATATCAAACTATCTTCTGTACTTCTGAGCATGAATTGACTGACCTTAGAAAAGCTATGACCATCTTTACTGTATACTGTATATGTACAGAATGGATTCTCAAATAAGAAAAAAGACTCAACTAAAGATCTTACTTCCATTTTTCACACAAAAATCAAGCCCAACAATGCATTTTTTTCACTTTTAAATAATTTTCACACAAGGTGCATGAATTTTTACAGGCTATTGTGTAAAAATTCTGCATATAGAATCAGCAAATGTTGTAAGAGAAAAATCCCAAGCATTATCCAGGCACCAAAACCTTCTGAGAAGCTTTATTTTGTCTTGGTAAATTGCAAAATCATATTGGAATTTAGAAAAAAGCATCATCACATACAGTATCATCCTGAACATGGACATGTGATTCTCAGTGATTACCTAATGATATCCTTAGGAATATGCCACAATTTCTCTGATTTTGGGATATTATTAATTGAGGACAGGGACATTCTTTTGGGCACTAAAAGTGAGTTTGCACTAAATCAAGGTTTCCCTTAAGAACACAATTGAGGCAGACTTGTTCCAGGGAAATTTGTGTCACTGCGTGGGGTTGGCGCTCAATCCAGGGTTGACTGTACATAAAATTCGATCACCTGCAAAGTCGGTCAAGTACTGAAACAGCACCAAGGATATATAGAAAAGCAAACGAGGTCGGAACAGCAAACCGCGCACAGGAATAAAAATGTCCACTAGGAATTGAGCACATTAGCTAATTGTCCCTCACCATTACTCACTTTTAAAAAAAAGTGACACAGCTTCGGAGGATCCGGGATGAGGAAAAACTGCACAGAACCCGAAAAAAAACTTGATAAACTATTGGGAAAGGAAACAAGCAGGAAAAAAAAAATTGAGGAAGAGGAACAAAAACAGGCATTCTTTAAACCGGAAGTGAGTCCGGAAACCGACAGAAGCAGCAGGCGTGAAAATAGACCTGCGTTAGGAAACTGAGGGGGGCGAAAAAAAAAAAAAAAAGAACACGCGCGGGATTTTCATTTCTGGGTCGCACCTGCGAATTGGTTTCATTTTCGATTTTCCTTTTGAAGAATAAAAACAAGGAGAGTTTGAAATTTGAAAAAGAAAATTCGTTCATGCGTTTTTCTCTGTAAAAGAGAGAAAACGGATATGCGTTTGTCGCGTGATGAGGCGTGAGGAGGCATATTTTTCCAACAATTCCCAAAAGAATAAAAAACTGTGGAATGAAAAATGGTTTCTGATTATGCGCCTTTTTCCAACTTGACTGGATGTAAAATATGTTGTCTGCTTTTCCCTTTACAATTTTCATTACCCATCTCCCACAAAATGTAACCCCTGAATGTTCTTAAAATTACAAATCTTATTGACAAAGTGAGACCCACAGATCTGGGCATAATTGGTGCAGTGTCCTGATGTTGGAATGTCCCAAATAAGTGGAGTCTCATTTCCCCTTAGAATTCAATGCTAATGTATTAAATTTGTTATCTTTTTTGTCACATATCAGAAATAAGGCTTCAAAATTCAATAAAAGTTGTTTCCCTCAACTTCAAGTTGTAGAAAACAACAGCGCAGAACAAAACCAGATATAAATCTGATCTTTTGGAATCAAAATGAGATTAAGAAAAGGATAGAAGAAGAATAAGTCTGCTTGCTAGAATATGCACAGATGATAGAAAAGAAAACTCCAAGAAAAAAAAGCACAAAATCAGCTTGCTTTTGATCATGAATGTGAGTGAATTTACTAGGAATTTTTTTTAATTTTTGTGAACATAAATAGCTTGATTTCTTTGGAAGGTATCAAAATTTTTATTAATTTCAATTTTTGAGAAAATGTCGGAAAAGTGTATCTAACTCAAGCCAATGCCCAAAAGTCAGGCCTACTTTTTTGTTTTCAAGTTTCTCCAAGTCTATTTGTCCATATGTTGGGGTGTCTGCATATTGGGGTTTCACTGTACATAACAATTATTTTTATCTTTATTCCTGAGAGTTCATTTTATTGATTTGAAAACAACACTTGATTATGAAGTGTTGAAAATAAATAAATTTTGATATCTTGTTCAGTGTCTCAAAAATGAAAAAAGCAAGAAATGTGAACCTAACAAGAATTTGAATTAGCTTTTATATAGGAGGTGTAAGCATCAATATTATTCCTGATAGCGTTATAAATTATATTTTTCTGGTAGTAATTGGGGGGTTTTGTGGTTACTTCATGCTACAAAAGTGTTAAAATTGTTCTGAAAAATAATATGCAAACCAGATAAAGTCAAATGCAATGTACCCTTGGTTAACAAACGTTTGTTCCCGAGGAAAAATCCCTCAGTTTTTTTTTCAGCATGAATATCTTTTTTTTTTTGAATTCCTCATAAGTCAATTATGTGAAGCAAGGCCTGATACACAATACATAGAAATAATTTGTTCTGCCACACGTGGGCTAAAAATCTGTCATGCAAAGCGTCCGTTGACCGGAGAAATTTGCTGAATTTGCATGATGCTTGACAAAAGGTTCAGAAAACTTCAAAACGTGATTATTACCTGGTTTACAAATAATGCAGTTAGTCTACTGTAGTAGCTCATTTGGTTTTTTCCTTACCATTACATGGTCTGGCAGGATTGGTAAAAATTTGCACTAGTGAAGTCTGTCATAGAAAAGTGACATTTGAGTCACATTTTGTATTGAAATTAATAGGAAAAAAATTACCAGTACCATAGACAAGATTTTCTCATGTAATTCCAATTCAGGATAATGACCTTACATAATTTTTAGTTTGTTTAGAGATAGACTAAAGCATGACTAAACCATTCATTTGATGGAAATAAAGTAAATTTAAATAGAAAAAATATCATTACAACAATTTCTTCAGAATGCAAAACTTGGTAGAAATCCCATATAGCGTACATCTTTTAAAAATCTTGTCACGTGTGTGAATGGTTAAACCTATATGGTTTGTTAAAACTCCTTGTACAACACTAAAGAACTAAATTTTTTTCTAGGAGTTAGTTCCCTCCGTGTCAGATTTTAAAGGGTAAGTGTTCCACTGACACCGAGATTCTTATGACATAAAGTGGAATCAAGGACAAAAGTTCTTCAAAATTCACTTTCAAATATTATCCTGGGTTAGGAAAATGGAGGAAGGGGGGGGGGGGGTTGATGAAAAAATGAACCCAGTAAAATGCTTATTGAAAGGGCTTTGCATGCTTGAGGAGCCTGTACTGCCTTTCTTAAAATTTGTTAACTTTTTTGGAACATCCACTCTTACAAATCTGTGCAGGAATTGCTTAGAAAAACTTAAAGTCAACAAAAAGTGATATTTTTTAACTGTTATTCATAGTGAGTTTTTGTTGTTAAAATTAAAATTTATTTTTGGAGATCATAGTTTTTTTAAACTGAAAAACACATCAAAAGAGTATAAAAAGAATATTTTAAATTATATATGTGCAGGTTTGATTTTTTTGAATCTTCTGATCTGTCAAACATTTTTTTAAATCTTGTTTTAACAAATTATTCAGTATAACAATTTTTTTCTGAAGTCCACATTTATGAGTTTGTTGTAAAGAGATTTTGCTGTATTACCTAGATGAGAAGCATGTTTGCTGGAAGACAGCGACAACAGGTCATCGTCGTCGTCGTCGTCGTCGTCGTCATCATTGTTGGAACTCAGCTCGTCAGAGTTCTCTTCCAATATTGGCTCGAGATACGTCGACGACAGCTGCGGGTCAGCGTGTCGCTGGATCTGCTCAAACTACAGGAAAAGATATAGCTGCAGCAGTAGTGACTACGGCCGCGCAGCCAGAACTAGGGCGACCGCTGACGTCTTGAGCCGGTCGTCGAGCAGTGATTACGTTAGAAGTAGCAGTAGCAGCAGCAGACTGTCGACTGAGGACCTGACACTGTTGAGCTCACGCTCCAGCTGCTCGCTCACGCGCCGCAATTGTTGGACGGCCGACTCCAGCTCCCCGTTGCGCTCCATCGCCGCCACGGCGTCCCAGTCTGTGTAATAAAAAAGAACAAGTCAGTGGAAAGAGTTGTAAATAGAAAAGTTCAGTGGCCTTCTTTAATTTATTGGATTTGTTATGCTGTGGGGGTCCTTGTATTTACAAGTGTTCCCGAGAACCGGTGGTCTGCGGACCAGTGCTAGGGACTCTGAAGTCCATTGATGAAAAAGAAATTTAAAGAATATATCACTGTTAGAAATGAAAGTTTATCACAACAGGCCGTTTCTTGCCCAGACAAAGTCTACAGGAGCAAATGTATTTTTACAGGTTTCACATAATCAATTTTCACTTTCAGAATCACCAGATGGAAACCACAGCA